AAGAACTTTAAAGGTTATGTAATCCAGCACCCTTGTTTTACCGGTGAGGAAACTGAAGTCCACAGAGGTCAAATGACTTGCCCAAGGCCATAGAGATAAAGCCACAAGGATGGGATTTAAACTTGGATCCTTTGACTCCAAATTCACATTTGACCTATCTAAAATAATTTCTCATTGCCCTTTAGTAACTACCCTTTGTTTTATTCAAGTTGCTTCACTAAACATCTCCCTGTAACCATTCCCATTCTGTGCTGTATGTTCATATTGCTAACCTACCCCTGAATACCTTTCTTCTCTATTCACTTAAATTTTACTCACCCTTCAGGACCCATTTTCTACTCAAGGCCTTCCTATCCCAAAGCCTAACTATGTAGTATAATAGATTATAACATGAAAAAGTATGGATCTTGGACTCCAAAAATCTGGATTTGATTCATGGCTCTAACATTTACTAGCAATGTGACTAGGACTTAGTTTCTTCTTCTATTTAAAAAGTTAGCTCACAGTACTGTTATAAGGAAAGTGCTTCATACACTTGTAAAATATTTTGAAAAACAAAGGTGAATTATTATAGCCCATACAAATCTCTCCATCTGAGAAGTCTAGACTAGATGATATCTAAGGTCTCTTTCAGCTCTAAATCTGTGATCCTGTGATTTTGTGTAAAGTGCCTTCCAGCACCTAGCACAGTGACTTGTACAAAATAAGCAATACAAGTTTCTTGAATTGAATTATATAATTCTTCCCAAAGTGTAGTCAATATTCTTATAAATCAGACTTTCACCAGCTTTTTGCAATTTGATACACACAATGGCTGCAAGTCAATTCCAGCTTAAAGATGAGTGGTGCTCAAGTTACTCTGGTAACAAAGAAAAAAAAAATTTAACTCTCAGTAAGCATCTAACTTCTTTTTTCAGTCCAAGCCTAGCCCAAATTTCAAGGTGAAGCAGAACAGCCCTTCATTAATCAAACAGAAGGAAGAGGAGTCAGTAGTCCTCCCAACCACCTCACCTTTCTCCAAGAAACATGACTATAGTCAAGAGATGGATTTTATCAACAGCTCCTCATACAGTAATGTACTGTCAGGTCTGACCTAAAACAATCTACCTCAACCACTCACAGGGATGGCCATACCCGCTAGACCATCACCCTAAATTATGCCACCTACATAATAAGAATATCTTATCCTTTCATCTTCCCCTCTGCTTTGCTCCTAAATCTATTCGTTGCCCTCACTACAACCTCCTTTCTTTCTGTTTTTTGACCTCCAGCCTCTCCATCCTGATCAATCCCTCATCCTCTAGCATCTCGTTCCTCTCCTCAGTCTTGATCCTATAACTAACTAGTCCAACTATATACTGTTCTCCACACTTGACTCCTTTGTGCTTGTGCTCTACCTCCATTTATATTCTGCCATTCCTGCACCCTGAATCACCCACACCAGTTTTCTCTGCTTCTTCAGATTATCTAATTGAGATCATCTAATCTCAATTGGGCCCACACTGTTGTCGTATAGAAAAACTTTTATTCTCTCGGCTCTCTATCCCATTTCTTCAATGGCTGTTCCATACCTTCCCAGCACCCTTTCTCTCAGTAAATGTTGCCTGAGAAAATAGTCTTTGCTGAGAAAATAATCATGTGCAGTAAAATCTCTCTTCTCTCTAATATCACACCTCAAAACCCTTCTACATCATCACCCATTCTTTCCTTCTTTTCTTCAGTCTGTGATGAAAAGATGGCCCTTCTCCTTGACAAGGACAACCCCTCTATCAATCCCATCCTCTCTTGGCTCTTTTCCCACTGCCTATGAACATGTTCCAATTTACCTCTTCTACTATGATCACTAGCCTAATCCAGGCCTTCATCACCAATTGCCTAGGCTATGTAATAGCCTCCCAGTTATTTCCTCTACTTTTAGTCACTCCCCTCTCCAATCAATCCTCCACACAACTGCCAAAGTAATCTTTCTATGAAATAGGTCTGATTGTGTCACTTCCAAGCTACAGCTTGCCTTGTGGCAGCCTGGTGGCACAGTGGATAGAGCAGTGGGCCTGGAGTCAGAAAGACCTAAGTTCAAGTCCAGTCTCAAACACTTAGCTGTGTGACCCTGGGCAAGTCACTTAACCTCTGTCTCAGTTTCCTCATGTATAAAATAGGAATAGTAATAGCCCCACCTCCCAGGGTTGTTGTGAGAATCAAATGAAATTGTAATTATAAAACATGTAGTACAGTGTCTGATACACAGTATGTACTATATAAAATGGTAGCTATTATTATTATAGGATAAAATACAAACTCTTTACTTAGCCTGGCACTTAAGGCTTCATCACCACTCTTCACATATTCTACATTCCAACCAAACTGGACTACTAGCTGTTCCTAGTTGTACAGATGCTACTTATCAATCTGTTCCATCTCAAAGACTTAGAGACACAAATTTCCCCATCTTGCTATGTACTTCCTGTACAGGCTCTATCTCCAAACATCCCGCAAGTAGAAAGCATTAGATGCTCAACTAGTATCTGATACATGGGCCCCAGAATGTCCTTGTAGGGGCAATAATTCACCTTCAGCCTCTTGGTATTCACATAAGCTGTCCCTTATTTTGAAAATGCTTTCCTTCCTCATTGCTGCCTCTTATAATCCTTTTCTTCCTTCAAGACACAGCTCAGGTGCCACTTCTTTTGTGAAGTTTTCCCTGATCACCACAGTTGGCACTGTTCTTTCTCTCTACAATTTGCCTTATACTATAATTAAAGTATATGTAGCATCCCCTCATGGAATGTAAACAAGAGAAAAAGACTATGTATGCCCAGTACAAAGCATAATGCCTTGCACATGACAAAAGATTAATAAATCTTTGTGGAATTGAATTATGCCCCTAGAGGGCACAAATGCCTTTCAGACATCTTGAACTGGATGTCCAGTAGACATCCTAAAGTAAATATTTCCAAAACGGAGAGCATTCTCTCTTCCCCTAAACCCTCACCTCCCCTTTCCTTATTACCGAAGAGGGCAACATCATCCTCTCAGTTTCTTAAAACCTAGGAATCATTCTCTATTCCTATCTCTCATAGCCCATATCCAATCTATTGCCAAAATCCGTTGATTTCACCTTTGCGACACCTCTCCAATATGCCCCCTTCTCTCCCAGGTCACTTCACCACTTTGGCACAGGCCCTCATCACTTCACACCTGGATTACTGCAATAGCTTGCTGATAGGTGGGCCTGCCTCAGGTCTCTCCCCACTCCAATCCATCCTCCATTCAGACACTAAAGTGATTTTCCTAAAACTCAAATCCAACTGTCATCCTTGCTCCCTACTCAGCAAACTCCCTTGGCTCCCTATCACCTCCAAGATCAAATATAAAACTCTGTTTACTATTCAAAGCCCTTCATAACCTAGGTCCCTCCTACCTTTCTAGTCCACTTACTCTGGTCCAATGACACCCGCATCTTTACACTGTTCTGCCAACAAGACATTCCATCTCTCACCTCCAGGCATTTTTTCTGGCTGTTATCAATGCCTGGAACGCTCTCTCTCCTCATCACTCCTCATCACTGCGTACTAGCTTCCTTGGCTTCCTGTAAGTCCTAATAAAAATCTTATCTTCTATCTATTACCTCCCCATTACACTGTTGAGCTCCTTGAGGGCTAGAAATGCCTTTTGTCTCTTTTTGTTATCCCCAGGGCTTAGCATAGTACATGGCACAGAGTAGCACTTAATAAATATTTACTGATTGGTTGATTGATTCTCTTTCCAAGGTAAACCATTACTGTTCCATTTAATACAGAATATAAGCCTTGCCCCCAAAAAATCTGACAAAGTATATTTATGAAATGATTTTTGTACTCTTAAACAACTGTCACGATTAAGAAATTAAGATGCTCTCTGCTAAGGAGAGCTTTGGCTTTTCATCTTCCTCATAATTTAAAACATATAATGGTTCTCACAAATTTAAAAAATTGGGCATTATCACTGAATAAGGGACAGGTCAGCTTAGTGGACAGAGTACAAGACCTGGAGTCAAGAAGATGAATCTTCATGAGTTCACCTTCATGACTTCATCTTCATGAGTTCAACTCTGGCCTCTGACATTTACTAGCTGTATGACCCTGGGCAAGTCATTTAACCCTGTTTGCCTCAGTTTCCTCATCTGTAAGATGAGTTGAAGAATGTAATGGCAAACCACTCCAGTCTCTGCCAAGAAAACCCAAACGAGGTCAGAATCAGACTAAAATGACTGAACAATACCATCATCACTGAATAAGAACAATTTATTGCCAAAACAGGTTCAGTTAATATCTCATTAATATTCTAATGATAGACTTATACCTTGATTATACATTCATGTTTATTATAAAAATAAAATAAGTTCCATTCTGGTGAAATTCAGTACACCCATGACCATCCTTTGGTCATTCTGGAGCTTTAACATGCCTAAATTCTCTTCTCCCCACCCCATGCCCTCCTGCTGGATTTTTTCCCTTGATTTTACTTATTTAATGTTTGCAATAATGCATTCCTTTTACTCCAAAAGGCAGCCAGAAATTAACCTTTCTCTTCAGAATACTGGGAAAATAACAGTGAATGAAAAACTGGAGAGAAATAATGGCTCTAAATTCTCCTCCATTACCAATTACTCAAAACTACCAATATGTGTAAGACCACCTCAAGCTTTAGCATACTTAAGAAATTAATATCATAAGGGAATCCAAGTTTTTTGACTAAATACGCCTGATCAAAGAAAATTACTGACAAACGAACTACCGCAGTATTTAGACCCAAAAGCCAAAACACAAGATTTAAAAAAACTGAAACCCCACTCTATGAATTAGTTCTCCACTGTGATTAACCAGTTTATCCCCCAGCATAGTCAATGTTACCTCACCAACTGGTTTACAACTAGAAAGAAAAAACACATATCCCCTCCCAAAAAAACATACAGCAACCAACAGAAAAACATCACAATGGAGATGTTATTCCCACCTTCTTACCTAAAGAAGAAATGGTTCTTAATTTTCCATGTAGAAGGGAAAAGTAATTCCAAAAATAATGCCCATGATCAATGTTGGAAAATAATGATGGGGCAGGGAAATGAAGATGAATGAAATTTGAGAGAGAAGAGAGCAAGTATGAGCTATGGAAGAGTTTGGCAGGACACAGAAGGGAAGGGGAAAAAGCTGAGATGTTCTTCGGGACGAAGGGGAAAGCGCAAAGGTTTGTTTAAAGTAAAAAGGAGGTGAGGTTTGTGGTTTTTAAAAGGAAGAGAAGGACGCTGGGGTACCGAGGAAAGAGGAAAAGTGGACTTTAGAAGGGGGGTAGGAAGAGGCGTTACTGCAGGGCTTTGGGGAAAGAAAGAAGGACGCAAAGATTTGGGGCGAGAGGGCAGCAGGCTGAGGGGTGTAAGGCTTAGACTAACTCCTTCCCCCAAGAAACCGTCCCTGCCCCCTCAGAATTTGGGGGACAAGCTTGCTCTACCACCTGAAGCAGGAAGGGGGAACAGAGTGTGGAGAGGAAGAGAATAGGGAGGGGGGGAATGTAGAAGGAAGAAGAGAGAAGGGGAGGGAGAAAGAATGGGGAGGAGGAGAGTGAGAATGGAGTCAGGGAAAGAGAATGGGAAGAAGAGAGAACGGGGAAGGAGGGGATGGGGAAAGAGAGAGAATGGAGGGGGGACAGAAAATGGGGAAGAGGAGAGAGAACGAAGAAGGGAGAGAATGGGGAGGGGGAGAACAGAAAGGGACGAGAATAGTGAGGGGAGAGAAAGGCAAGTAGAGAAAATGGAGAGGGGGAGATACAGAATGGGAAGTGGGAGACAGAGAATGGGGGGGGAGAAAGAATGGAGAGAGAACAAGGAAGGATAGAGAATGGGGAGGGGAAGAGAGAATGGGCACGGGGTGAACAAGGTGGCTTGCCCCCCCCCGACCCGTTCCTCTTGCCTCTCGCCAGCTGGGTCCCTCCCCCGCCGCCAACCCCCCTTTTTCCCCTCCGCGTCTCCCCCCAGCTGGTCCCTTCTCCCCCCCTCCCCCCGCCCCGCCCCTCTTCCCGCCGAACCATTCCCCCCCCACCTCGCGCTGCGCCCCGAAACTGAACGGGGAGGCGGGGGTGAGCCCGGGGGCTGGCGCCCCAAGCCCTGCCGCCCCGCCCCTCTCCCCTGGGCCAGCCCATCTCAATGTCGCGAGCCCGCGTGCCCGCCGAGCCCCGGCCTCCCCCTCACCTCCCATGACCCCGGCCCTGGCCCGGACTCCAGCCGGACCGACCCGTCCTGCCTTCGCTCCGGCTCCTCAGCGCGCGCTCCCCGCCTCCTCCGGGGAGGGGGAAGGGAAGAGGGAGCCAGCCGACCTCCTGACTGCGCCCCCTGCCGGCCCCACGGCGTCGTGCAGCCTCGGCTCCGGGAGCAGCGTTCTTTGGGACCCGGCCCCGGCGGCGCCGCGGGTACCGCGGGATTTGGGTTCAGGCGCCGAACCCGCCCTCTCCTGCCTCTTCCCTCCCCCCTCCGACTCCTCCTCCCTCCCATTCCCCCTCGCCCCCACCCCTCCACCTCTCCATTGCTCTCTTGCCACCCCTACCCCGCCTCAGGCAAACTGCTTCGTGTTCCAGAGTTGGCCCTTTCTCCGCTGAGTGAGAGGCAGGTGCTGATGCAGCCACGTTGCTCCTTTGTTCTTTTGCCTTTTGCTTTTTTCATGACCAAAATGTCTCAGAAAGTCATTACAAGCATGGGGACTGCATAGTCCCCTGGGTTTATCATAAAATCAGGGACTGGAAGGACTGGAAGAGACCTTAGAGGTCATGGGTCCAGACCCTTGTGAACAGATGTAAGGGAACACATCTAAGAGATGTTGTGGAGAAAGAAATTACAAAATTTGGCAACTAAGTAGGTATATGAGGGGACATCCAGTTCAAAATGTCCAGTAAGCAGTTGGTGGTGCAAAACTGGGCAATGAGAGAGAGATTAGAACTGGATGTATACATCTTGGAAACATTGGCAAGAGGGGTGATAACTGAACCCATGGGAGCTGGTGAGATCACCAAGTGAGAGGATATGGAGAGAGAGACAGAGGCAGAGAGAGAGAAGAGGAGGAGGAGGAGGAGGATCTAGACAGAGCCATGGGTGCTCATCCACACTTAGTATGAAACAAATGAAGATTCAGTGAAGGAGATTGATGAGTGTTTACACAGGTGGAAGGAGACCTGAAAGAGAGCAGAGTCACAAAAACTCAGGGAGTTTAAAGTATCCAGAATAAAGTCAACCAACAGTGTGGAATGCTGGAAAGAAGTTAAGGATGGCAATTAAGAGATCATTGGTAGTTTTGGAGAGAGCAATTTCTTTTGAATGATGAGGTCTGAAGGTAGATTGCAGAGAGCTTAGAAGAGAATAAATGGAAGTACAAAGTGTAGATAGATTCTTCAAAGAATTTAGCTGAGAAGGGGAAGAGAGACAGGATGGTAGATTCCAGGGATGGTAAAATCCAGTGAGGGTTTGGGTTTTTTTTTTTTAAGAATGGGGAGTCATAGGCATATTTGCAAGCAGCAGAAAAGGAACCAATAAATATAGAGAGACTGAATATGAGAGAGAGAGAATAATAGCGAAGGCAATCTGCTAAAGAAGACTGGAGACCTCTTCATCAGAGATTCCAGTTAGAGCAAGCATTTTTGACCTGGACTCTGTGAACTCTGTGTGTGTGTATTATGTATATGTATATGTAGATATATATATATATACACACATATCTATATCTATTTCAATATGTGTTTCCATTGTAGTCCTAACTTATTTTATGTATTTTAAAACGTAATTATGAGAAGTCAGTAGGCTTAAACAGACTGCCAAAGGAGACCAATGCACAGAAAGGTTAAGAATTCCTGCGTAAAAGGAACATAAGGTGAGAAGGGGACAAGAGGAACCTCTTATTGAATGCCCTCAATTTTTTGGGGGGATGTATGAGGCAAGATCCTCAGCTGAAAGGGTGAGGGAAGGACTGAACTAAGGACTCTTGATTCTGAGTTCAGTGTTCTTTTTTTAAAAGTAGCATTTGTGAGGGATTGTCTGATGTTGGCTACGTGCCACGTGGGGGTTGTGGCAAGATGGGGCAGGGACAAGATATTAGGAAGTAACCGGAGCTCACGCTCCTGAGGCAGGGGGCTGTGCCATGTGGAGTTGTGGTGAACTGGGGTAGGAACAGGATACGGGGAAGTAGCCGGAGCATGTGCTCCTGAGGCAGGGGGCTGTGCCACGTGGGAGTGGGACAGCAGAGAACGAGCTCCCTTTGTCTAGTCCTCTCCCTAGGTGCAGCACTAACCCCAGATGTCTCCTTCCAGTATCTGGGCCTAGCTTCCTTTGTCACGTCCTCTCCCTTGGTGCAGTGCTAACCCCAGACATCCCCTTCCGGTATCTGATCCTACAATCATTCACTGGTAGGCGGGCTGAGGAGGAGGGGCTAGGAAGGTATATAGGGGCGGTAGGGGTCGGAGCTCTCTCTCTCTTGCTCTTGCTTTCCTGCTTGGCCTTGCTGTGATGGCCTCTGAATAAAGTTCGAGTGTTTGCACCTCCTGATCGGCTCGTCTCTGTGTTTATCCAGGTGGGCTCCGAAGACTGGTAAATATGACCTTGGCAGCCTGCTCCTATTAGGAGGAGAGTGCACGGCGTGACCGGCACAAGCATTCGATGGTTTTATTATTTTTCCCATTTACATTGTTATAGTCCTGTTTTCTCACATTTGTGCTTAATTCACTCTACATCAGTTCATATGGTTTCCCATGATTCTTTGAATTCATCACATTTGTAATTCTTTACTATACATTATATCCACTGCATTTCTCTACCATAATTTGTTTATATTTTTGTCCTCTCACCTGAAAACAACCCACTTTTTCCAGTTCTTTGCTATCACAAAAAAAAAAGTTGCTATAAATATTTTGATATTTGACCTTTCTTTGTATCTGCCTCCTTGTACTACATGCTCGGCAATGAAATCTGGGAGTCAAAGTACATGACTATTTTAGTTACTTTTTTTTAGCATGATTCCAAACTGCTCTCCAGAATAGTTGAAACAATTCGTAGTTCCACAAAATATGTATTAGTGCGCATGTCTTTCCACAGTCCCTCCAACATTAACATCTTTGCCACTTCGTTGAAGGTAAGGTGAAATCTCAGAGTTATTTTGGTTCTCATTTCTCTTATTAGTGATTTAGAGCAAATTTTTCAGAATGTTGTTAATGGTTTGTAATTCTTTTAAGAAAGATTTACTTATATCTTTTGTATATTTACCTACTAGGGTCGGTATGGTCCTTGGTAGTATTTGTTGTTGTTGTTTTCATAGGGAATTCCCATTGAGGAAACTGCCTATACCAATACAGATTGGCACCAGCTCTACAATTTGTAGTCTCACAGAGATGCCTGGGGTACCAAATCAGTGCTCAGGGGTCATGCAGTCAGTATATGTCAAAGGCTATACTTTAACCCAGGTCTTCCATCAGTATATAAACCCTAGCTACTCCCTAATACTTCTATAATCAAATATAAACACCTCTATTTGGCACTTAAAGTTCCTTACAACTTTGTCCCATTTTATATTTCTGACCTTACACATTAATTCCTCTATTTATTCTATGGACTCCATGTACTTAAACCAAACTGACCTATTTGCTTTTCCTCACATATGGTACTCTCTATCCCATCTCTATGCCTTTTCTCAGTGCTCTTTCCAGGTCATACTTGCACTAGATAACATCTGAGGGAAAGGTGCATTCAGTTCAGCTGGAAAATAGAGCTCATGAAGGTGATTAGATGAAATATGTTTCCAAAGTTCAGTTGGATCCAAAATGTGGGGGACACCTTGAATGCCAAGTTAATGAGTTTGTAGTTTTTTTTTCTAAAGACAATAGGTGCATTCATACTTAACAATACAGAAGAGTAGGGAGAACCAGCTACAGAGACTAAGACATATTGGCCAGAGAGGGAAAAGACTGTCAAGAGAAGGAGGTGTCAAATATTATGAAAATTCACAGAATATAAGCAGTGAAGAAAAGGCATTGGATTTAGCCTTAGGAGACCACAGGTAAACTTGGAGAGAACAGTATCAATAGACAGTGGGAATGGAAACCTGACTGCTGATAGCTGCGGCTTATTGGAGAAGAAGAAGAAGGAGAAGAAGGAGAAGAAGGAGGAGAAGGAGGAGAAGGAGGAGAAGGAGGAGAAGAAGGAGGAGAAGAAGAAGAAGAAGAAGAAGACGAAGACGAAGAAGACGAAGAAGAAGACGAAGAAGAAGACGAAGAAGAAGACAAAGACGAAGAAGACGAAGACGAAGAAGACGAAGAAGACGACGACGACGAAGACGAAGACGACGACGAAGACAAAGACGACGAAGACGACGAAGACGAAGAAGACGAAGAAGAAGAAGAAGAAGAAGAAGAAGAAGAAGAAACAGCAGAAACAGCCCTGGGCTCAAGGACCTCTAATTGAGGAAAAAAGGAAACAAGAAGGGGCTGGGGTCAGGGGAAGGGTAATACAAGACAATAGATAAAGTCTGTACAAAATAATCTAAGATAATGTCAAGATTAGGAAAGG